AGTGAAGAATGCATTTTAAATAGTGATTTGATGGAAAATATGTGGTTAAAAAATAAGGAAAAATTTTGATTTTATGTGTAATATTATTTTATTGAAAAATGTGTAATTGAAAATAATGAGAACCAAACAAAGACTATATTTACTTATAAGTAAACTTATCAAACTCAAGTCCAACCGCACAAAGCACGTTTTAAAGTAACTTGAACTTACTTTTAAGTCCCCGTTTGGCCTCCATTAAATTTATAATATATTATTCATTATCTTATTTTTAACCATACATTTTTCAATAAAATAATATTACACATAAATCAAAATTTTTTCTTATTTTTCAACTACACATTCTCTAAAAAAGTACCATTCCAAAAATTATAACATGGGCCAAAAGTTGGCTATATTTTTCATTTATTTCCAATTTAACTCATGAAATTTTATTTTAAAACTTTCATCATTCAGAGCCCATTTGATTCTCATTATTGTAGAATGAGAATGAAAAATATAATTGTCATTGGACCCCACACAAAATATATAAATTCAAATTTGATAGTTTGATGTGATGGTTAACGATCATATTTTTCATTTTTTAGATGAAAAATGAGAAACAAACGGGTTCTTACTTATAAATTAAAAATAATAATTTTTTTTAAAAGTAAGTGCATGTTTGATGGAATTTATTTGAGAATAATCAATTATTAAATAATATTTTTTGAACAATGTGTGTTTAAAAAGTAAGAATAATTTATTGCTTTATATATAAAATATTTTATTACGCGAATGTGTGACCAAAAAATAATATTATAGCAAATAATTTAATTATTTAAAGGATGACATATCTAAAATTTTTCGGGCTCAGTCAAAGTTGCCGCCCGAATAGATTTCTGCACGCAGCATACACAATAGAGGGGCAAAAAATGAAAATACATATAAAATAAATTAAAGGCAGCAAATTGAGCAAGAAATCAAAAATATTTCTAGGGCTTAATCATTCTCTCACTCATTCCCGCTATTTCCTCTCTCTC